CCTTCCTTCCTTCCTTCCTTCCTTCCTTCCTTCCTTCCTTCCTTCCTTCCTTCCCGCCGCTGTGCCCTGCTTTCCCTTGGACAGAAAGCTAGTCGGGAAAAAGGCTGCCCTCTCCCCCGCGATCGTTTCTCCCTGTTCGCTGGGGGAGGGTTACGGTGCGGCGGGCTCTCTCGCGGGGATCCCCGGTACCACTCACCCTCCTGGGGACACCAGAACCGCTGGGCCCCCGTTGGTCCGTAGAGAGATTATGCCCTTTCTTCTTCCCTCTGGGCCTAACACTGTCTTTTGGACATAAAGCTTCAAACCCTTTGATTAGTTCCGAGTACTTTAAAAATGAAACTTAGGGTCTCGAAGACGCTGGGTGGGCCATGCCTAATACAACACAAAACGTCCGTATAAATATGTATGTTACCATCTTAGATCCTCTACCGAGTGATTTATAACTGGTGGGAAGGAGAGAAAATGTCATCCCTGCATTAGCGATGATTTCTTTATGCTAATAATAATTTTATTTTATTTTCTTAAAAAAATAATTAAACAGTTTAAGGGCAATTGTCTTAAATTGTCCTGCCTCTCCAGAAGTTTAGGAGCGTTATGTGATGATGTGCAGTTTTGATTTACCCCCTCTCTGGCCTGTCTTTTAGACTTTTGAGTCTCTCAGACAGGCAGAGGAGTCTGAAGTGCTTCAGCCGGTAACAAAGACACACCACAAGGAAGGAGAAAAACAGAAGCCACCCTTACTGTGATAATGCCTTCGGCCCATTAGTTTTAAATGGGCAAGGAGGAAAAGCGGGCTAGAGTTTGAACATTCAAATAAAACGAGATTAAGGGAGTTTGCAGAGTCCTCGGCCAGGGAATGAATAATTAAGAGGAATCCTTAACTTTTGACGTATTTAACTTTTAAGGATAAAAATGTCACACTTAAAATAGACAAATAAAATCAACCTGGTAAGATTTAGCTCTTATCAGGAGAGAAGGACCCGGTTTTCAGCAAAGTACATTAATTACCAGTATACCGGAAAACAATAAGTTATTTCCCACTTTTTTCAGTTTAAAAACCAGGCTTTCTATGAACGTAGTTTAACCATTTAGACTCTCTTATGTCCATCACAGGGTTTTTTTAATTGAAAAAAACGAGTCCGACTTTTAATTTAATTTGAAAACATTTAAGAGGCCGAATTTCTGTTTTGATATATGTATAACCATTTTGAACTAAAGTACAGTGACTCCAAGTAAGGCTTCGTCCTTTTCCAAAAAATGTGTATGATTTGTTTTTTCTGGGTTTTTTTTGTTGTTGTTTTTGTTTTAAGTGGGGAATTTCAGCTCCTGCGGTAGGGTTTTTAACTCTGAACACAGTATTGCCATATGACTCTGGTGTAATAGGAAGGAAGGAAGGAAGGAAGGAAGGAAGGAAGGAAGGAAGGAAGGAAGGAAGGAAGGGGAGAGAAATACAGGATCCAAACCACAATGAAGTGAATTAAAACTTGGGATGGTGTGGCTGGGAAGGCGCAGGTGCAATAATCTGAATTATTAATTCCTTAATCTTTTTTGCATCTGTTGCCTTTTAATACTCTGTAATGCGAGTTATCAAAGGTGCTTTGAATTATTCAGGAATGAGGTGCTGGAGAAATTGCCTGGTTGTAACTTTAGAGGCAACATCTGCAAAAGGTGACCCAGACAGACAAACGAAAGAAAGAAACAAACAGACACACAGGGAGAAGGAAAGGCCATTCAACCACCCGGCAAAAATATTGCGTGGTGAACGGGGTGGGGGACAAGAACACGTCCTGAAATCCCCTTCCTCTTTTCCGAGTTCCCTGACAACTGAACATAACAAAGCGGTGGCCCTTGGAGGAGAAAAGAGGGAAACCCAAGGGTATATCTATCTATCTATATTTCCTTCCCGCATAGCTTGCACGCCAGTAAAATAGGCATATAACTCGGCTAAAAAGATGATCGCGGCTTAGCATCCGGGTTGGGGGTGGGTTAGGAGGCGAAAAAAACTCTATTTGCGAGGAGGACTGGGATCGATCGCAGGGCAATGAGAGTTTCCACTAAGTTCAGAGCCAATAAGTCAGTGTCACCAACACGGAAAAAGCGGGTGGGGGAGGAACTCGGCAAAAATACAAACAGATCATTTTTCAGCAAGCCGCAATACCAACCTAAGGTTCGTCTCATTTCTCTCTCTCTCTTTCTCCGGGGAAGTCGCAAGGGTTAGGTCCACGTGAATGAGCGCTCTATATGGTGGCTCGGATGGTGCGACAGGGGACACGCCGTCTCTATCCACCTTGCGGGTATAAACACTCCAGGGAGCTCTTGACACTTAGGTCGCCTCGGTTCCCAGTCCAGTTAACTACAAGAAGGGCGATGGAGGGAGGGAGGACGGGGTGGCGGCGGCGAGCGGCCTAAATTCCTCTGCAGATTTCCTTCAGAACAGATCGTCCAAAATGCAGATACGTAGGTTTAACTTGGTGGCGAATTAAGCCGCAAGAGAAGGGGCTGGGAATCAAATGCTAACAACAACAAAAACAAAAAGAGAGAGGCTCGTTTCCACACCTCAGGATTGGGCAACCCTAAAGCCGCAGAGGTGCTATAGCGCTATGCAGATCCTGTGCTGCTGAGCGCTGATTAAAATCACTTCGCTTAAATCAGATAGTACCATCCTGTTATCAAAGCAACTCAGATTCTGAAGATTTTCTGAAGAAGAGCGAAGAAAGGGAATTTAAAAAAAAATGCATAGAAAGAAGCTTCTTAAAATAAAACAAACTGCACTTTAAATGAACTAAAATTTCCATCCCCTCTAAAATTCTTCCCATTAAAACAACTACTCCACAGAGAGATTTGGTTGGCAGGCAGGATTAGTAGAGAGACAGCGGAAAGGATATCTATCTATCTATCTATCTATCTATCTATCTATCTATCTATCTATCTATCTATCTATCTATCTATCTATCTATCTATCTATCTATCTGTGCATGTGCGTGATATAACAGACAGAAACAAAGACCTTGTCTTTCTTTTTGTTAAATTGCTTTTAATATCACTGTCGATTGAGCAAATTTAACAGTAATTCTTCCTGGCAGGAAGGGTGGGGGGCATGCTGTAGAGTTGAGCAGCTCCATAGCAAGAAATAGTGTTACACCCGTGTAATAAGGCAGAAAGTCGTCGCCAGGGAATTAGAGAACTTGGGCCCGGAAGAAAGAACATAGAAAGAGCCACTTCAGCAGACTTGGCTGGAACAGAACCTCTGTTTGTGTGTGTGTGTGTGTGTGTGTGTGTGTGTGTGTGTGTGTGTGTGTGTTTTGTTTTTGTTTTTGAGGGAGAAATATTTTTTTTTCTTTCCTTCCAAAATAGGGTCAGATCAGTTGTTAATCAGCGTCCTTGGGACGCTGATCTGGGAACAGCCCGAATGGTCCGGCAGAAGGCTGAGAACCCCGCGAGAGGGGAGTGCCGCCCCCCCCCTTGTCTTTCTCTCCCCCGGCCTCGGCCCCGCGCCTTCCTTTCCTCCCCTCGGCCCGCCATTTCCCTCCCCTGCCCCTGGAGATCGGCCCGGCTTCGCTGCCCCGACTAATGTCTTTTTTTTTCTCCCCCTCCCCCCGCATCTTTTCTCGGTGTGCGTGGGTTTTTGTGTGTTTTATTCTCTCTCCCCAGCAGGGCACGGGGGTGTCAACCAGCTCGGGGGGGTGTTTGTGAACGGCAGGCCCCTACCTGACGTGGTGAGGCAAAGGATAGTGGAGCTGGCTCACCAGGGGGTGCGACCCTGCGACATTTCCCGGCAGCTGCGGGTCAGCCACGGCTGCGCTCTCTCCTCTCGGCCCGGGGGGGCTCCCCGGCTCCTCCGCGCTGCGCACCTACCCACCCGCCTCCTTTTTGCTTTGTTTTGTCTGGACCTATCTTAAAACAGGGACCTGCTGTGGGTTCGGAAAGAGGAGGAGGGGGAAAAGCCCAACAAGCAAAGAAACAAACCGATTGCAACCCAATTTGCTGTGAGACCAACCTGCAAGTCTCCTCTCGGCCCGGGGGGGCTCCCCGGCTCCTCCGCGCTGCGCACCTACCCACCCGCCTCCTTTTTGCTTTGTTTTGTCTGGACCTATCTTAAAACAGGGACCTGCTGTGGGTTCGGAAAGAGGAGGAGGGGGAAAAGCCCAACAAGCAAAGAAACAAACCGATTGCAACCCAATTTGCTGTGAGACCAACCTGCAAGTCTCCCCTCCCCGCCTCCCAGCTAAGCCAGGCCGGGCCCTACTTTCTCTCCACCCCCAGGTCAGCAGGAACCCGCAGGCCGGCAGGCTGCCCCTTGTGCCCAATAGATCCGTGTCCCCGGCCGCAGGCCTTCCGCCGAGCTTAGCTCAGTTCGTGGGGAAAGTGGGGAGAAGAGGCCGCCGACCTTCGTGCATGCAGTTGGAGGGGCGGCGGGGCGGGGAGGGGGGGGAGAGAGGGCAGGACCAGGGGAAGCCAAAGCCAAAAGCAAAACGTGCTCAATATATTTTTAAAAACCCACCTCTCCCCATTTCCTTGCAAAGAACTCTCCCAAGGAATTCATCCATCGAGGGCAAAGGAGGTTGTGGGGGTCTCATCATTTTAGAGCGGGGGAAGGAAGGGAGGGCGGGGGCCTGAAGTCAAACGTTGGGAAGGAAGTCAGAGAAGAAGGCCTCCATGAGAACGCCGCGGACTTCTCCCCTCCAGTCTTTTCCCGATCGTTAGTGAACTGCCTCGCCTTGACTTAGATCCGCTGTAGGCTGCGTGGTGGCGGTCGATTTCAGCGCAGGGCAGGCCCTGCGGGGGAATCTTTCTTCCCTTCGCTGAAGCAGGAGTTGCCCGCATAATATAATCCTCAAGGGGAAAGATCAGAGGTGCCCAGCAGGGAACGGCCTGTCGAAAGAGAGAGAGAGAGAGAGAGAGTACGGGCACCATAGGTGGGGATGGGTGGGGGTTGACAGCATCCCCTGCCCCAGGACGCCAAGGGGAGAGGGGCTTTCCCTCCCCACAGATCTGAGCAGGGGATCGGGGGTGGGTGCAAAATGCCCCCTTTCAAAGGTTTCGATTTCCCCCTCCCCCGGGAGCTCGGGAGGCTGCAGGGAGGGAGGCAGGGAGGGGGGGCGCGGGCGAGCGCGGAGGAGCAGCTCGAGGCAGGTGCCGGGGGTGGGGGGCGCAGCTTGAACCTCGCTTTGCCCTGGCAGGTACTACGAAACGGGAAGCATCAAGCCCGGCGTGATCGGAGGGTCCAAGCCGAAAGTGGCCACCCCCAAAGTAGTGGATAAAATCGCCGAATACAAGAGGCAAAACCCGACGATGTTTGCCTGGGAGATTCGGGACCGGCTTCTGGCCGAAGGCATCTGCGACAACGACACCGTCCCGAGCGTGTCCTCCATCAACCGGTAAGTCACACGCACACCAGGGAGCCCGCCGCTCCGCTCCGCTCGCCTATTCCGAGCCGCCCTCCTGCGGGGAACTGAGAGCCGGCGGCCTTTCCCGCGCGGGACTCTCCGCACCCGCGCGCCCTGAGGTGGGGACCCAGCTTGCTGGAGGCGCGGGAAATGCCCCCATATGCGCCTGCCCTTCCCTCCCCCCGCGCCGCCAAGGGGGCTCCTTCCTCAGGTGCTCTCCCCCTCACTCACACACACACACACATACACACGCACTGTCTCTTTTTACACACATGGACACATACCCTGCACCTAACCCTCCTCAATCCCCACCACCACTTTGCTTTTCTTCCTGAGGCGACTGTCGGTTCGCTCTACCTGTCTTTCGAAGGGACACTCTTTTCTTTTTGTGCTGGTTAAGCTCAGGCAAAAGCTCCTCTTAAAGGTGGGAAGAGGAAAGCCTCGTTCTCCCCCCCCCCCACACACACACACACACCCGCCTCCTCTAGTCCTGACTTGGTCGCGAAATTCTCCTCAGAAAGGTCGGGGAGTAAATGAGCGGGTAACCATCCCGGTGCCTTTGCTTCCCTGAGTAGAAAGGGCAGCTTTTTCGGTAATTAAACCTCCCTCAGGACAAAGTGCTCCTCTTTCTCAAGCCAGTCGCGTCCCCCCACCATTAAAATACCAAACGGTTATTTGTCTTAAACAAACAGACTTAATTCCGCTGCTGCCCCCCACCCTTCTTTGCCCTCCAGGCAATGAAACACCTTCCTGGGGGAAGATGGTACCGCCATCACCACCACCACCACCAGCACTCCGCACCAGGCAGAGTTTGAGAAACCCACTAAAAGCACCGTTTTTCTGAAGTTAGGGGTTACAAAGAGGTGCTTGTGGTGGTTTTGTGTCTTCCCTGTGTGTGTTTTCGTTTTAAGGGGGGAAGTCTATTTTGATGTCTAGAATTTCTTTTGGATGGCAGCTTTGTAAATATCTTATTTCATGTCCCTGCTCCTCTGATTCTGTGTGCCCTCTTTCCTTTCTTTTATTCTTTCCCAAGTACGTGGATTATTTGGACTCAAAATAGGTTTGCATATGATACAAAAAATTGGTCAGTGAAAAAAAATGGCAGTGTTGTGTATCTATCTCGGTAGTTTGTTCCAAAATCTGTATTGTGGCAAAAGTCTCTCAGGATGTTTGGACAGATTGTGTATCTGTTTAGCTTCACCCTCATTCCTTCCTCTTATAAAATGAAGTACCAGTGCTGAGACCATTGTGTAGCAGAATTAGTCAGATAAATAAATAAACCCTTGAGCTTTGAAATATAATGAGGGCAGAGGGTATAAAAATATGAGAACCGTAAATATTATATTTGAACACAGCTATGCCACCATACCTTACCCTATGTGCTGAAAGAAAGAAAAATAAAGACATAGGCAGTGTATTTTGGGCAAATGTACTGAGTTGTGCTTTAAAATAGAAAACAGCATCGAATCAAAATATGCAATACAAGCACGTAAATATGCAGTTGTTCTCTAATTGCATATACACTAATTTCAGGGCACAGGTTTCTGTAGATTTTAAAATTTAACTGTTTTCAGTCTCATGGCTACCTCAAATAACCTAATCTACTCCAGGCTACATATTCATCCAGGGACTTGAGTAAAAAGCTTAATTCTCTTTGCACGGATGTCTTTTGCAATGCACCAGCCGAGGTGCAAGTGGTTTTTGTTTTGGTGTGTTTTTTTTGCCATGAATTGCGGAATGGGCAGCTGCTTGCAAGTATCAAAGATTATGAATCTCCATGTAGGAAAAAGTAATATAGAAAGTGGCCCCATAGAGACGCTTGTGTCCAGATGGACATAACAGTCTATAGCATCCATCTCTACAGCTGTTTGGCTAAATAGTTAATCATGCAATACATACAAAATGTAGCTCTTTTTTGTTTAAAAAAAGAGAGAAGCAATTTGAACCAATAGATGTAAAAACAATGCTTTATGCATCCGTGTGGTTTCCATGGAAGGTTTTTCTAAATACTGATGGCTAGTGGGCATTCTTGTAACTGGCATCACCTATCATTGGCTTTTAATTTTTTTTAAATGATGTGGAATTATCCCAAATCATCTCAAAACAGCAGGTAAAATTAACTGAGAGAACGTACCTTGCCTAAAAAATGAGCCCCCTCTCTCTGACACACACTCTCTGTGTGTAATATACTGCTAGGCTGTCCCAGGAAATTATCCCTGTGTGTGCCATCTGTATTAAAATGGTTATTAAGTTATGAACAGAGCCACATAATACTGATTGGCTAATTATACACTCTTCTTAAAAAAAAAAACCCAACACCCAGATTCTGCTGTCTCAGTTAGGTACCGAAATAATAACACTTTGACATTTGAGCATCTTTGGAGGTAGCTGCAGAAGGACAACCAGGAGCTGGAGGAGAACAGTGCCTCAGAAGTGCTGCAGAGGTTTATATTTAGGGTTTGTGGAGGGACAGGACGTTCCTCCTGAGAGCAGCAAACCTTCCTTTGGCTAGTGCAAAAGAGTTGCAGTTGGCAGGCCAAGGCATGTGTCACCCTCAGGCATCCGCCCCATGTTCAAGAGCTTCTGTTACATCTAGGGAACAAGCCCCACAGCCCTACACAACCATAAGGACATGTGTCCACATTTCACTACACATCTGTGTGCTGTATCAGGTGTGCCAAAGCTGTGTGTTTGCGTTTGTGTGTTAAACACTACATCCAGAACAACATAGCAAGATCCCATTCCTTAGCTACAGTAGTTTCACAAAAGTCCCATGTTTGTGTGCTATTTAACAACGGGAAGGAAAGGCACGTACCAGTTTTCTGATCAGGATCATCATATCTCACCTTTGGTTGCAACATGGAGAGAGGCGAGTTCTGATTTTACATCTGGGTAGCCACTGGTTTACTTTTAAGTATTTAGACAATTGCCCAGAGTTGTCAGAATCTTCTAGGGTCACAGCAGGCAAGACCGCATGTAGGAATATAATGAGTAAATTCCACAATGGTTACATATGTATGTATAGCTGAGAATCAAACACTTTTTAGATGCAAATGGTACCAATTTAACAGGATGACCTGAATTTGGTTGCCCATTACTCAAACTATTGCAGAAATTAAGTCAAACATGCTAATGTGCAGCATTTTGCCATTAAACCTGACCAAACTCTATTATTTTTTTATTTTTTTAAAATATTTTTATCCTACTTTTCCCCTTAAAAAGAACCCAAGATGACTTACATCATTATTTAAACCAATATTTAAAGCTAAAAACAGTAAGTATACAAATACCAGCAAGGGTCAAATACTAAGTAGATCTTAGATACATATTAAAACATTTCAAAATTCAACTTTGACAAATATGGTCATTTCACTTTTCTAATAATTAAACTCTATCTGGGTATAGATTATCTGGGTACAGATTTTTCAAATACCAGTGTCTCCTTTTTCCTTTTTGCTCCACCTTTTCACTCATTAGTCTGAGGACTGATTTCTGGAATCTGAGGCATGTAAGAAATGATTCAGTTTAAGGCCATGAACAATGACAGAAAGAAATGAGGAACTTGTATCTATACTGTTGAGAAATACACGAGGAAGGATAGAATTAAATACTTCATCCTTCCTTTGAATACAGATTTTCTCCATTATCTTCTGTGGCAAAATTTCCCAAAGAATACAGGAAGCAGTAAGGGTTACGTTTAAAATCCAGATACTTTCCCAGTACTGACAAACACTGTTTGGAGTATGACAATGCCGATTACTTATACCCTGCATACATGTGTGAGGAAAATAAAAGCAAAATAAGGACAAAAAAAACCAACAACCCTGTACTGTTGTTTTAATTTTGCCCATGTTGCCTGCAAATTTCTATTGGCACCGTCATTAACTAATTTATTGTGCAACTGTTCTCTATTGATCCTTCTAAAAGCAAAGGAATTTCTTGACCCTCATATCTTTAGGTAGTGTTAAATTTTCTGATGCCAGGGTTGGGAAGTGATGTATCAGTGTCTTGTTTCAGGTCTAACTTCTTGAAAGTAGAAGCAGTGGCACTTCTGTGTAGGATGAGTGAGAGTTTAGTTTCTTTTTTATATAGAAGACTTACCATAGGTTCATTGTTTGTGTCGGCGAATAGAGCCTTAGGAGCAGACTACATCAGAATTTTTAGCTCTGCATTCAAAGAGAAGGACTTACGGCTGAGACAATCCCCATGCTCAGATCATAGACCACCCCTGAGCGAGATATAGGCAGAGTTCTGTAGATTTACACTGCGCAACTAAAATAGCAACACTTTTCCTCCACTACTGTATCTCTGCTCTTTCACTCTTCCTTGTCCTCGTCTCCTACAGAAAAGTTACAACCATAGCAAAGATTGTTTTTCCCCTATTGGATGGATTACTATTTGCCTGCATTATACATTTACTACACGTCAGCGCTGAAAACCTCTTGACATTTTTTTCCTGTACACATATTTGTTTCTTCTGCTTTTGTCACTCATTTTTGAGATGAGGTGATTGCCAAGCAGTCATTAGATAAACTATGGAAGACATCTTAGGATAGGTCTCTTTGCATGTTTTGAAGAGAAGCAAATGACACTGTTTATGTATAGAACTAGAGTGGGATATTTTGGAAACCATGGGTATTTCAGTTTCGAAAGCAGCATCAAGGCTTTCTTGTATCACAATTTCAGTTTCTTATCCTTAGAACCCTTTGGAAACACTTTGGAAAGTGATCTGAGGATAAACATATAACATGGAGTGTGATGATGTTCATGACATGAATGTGCAATGTGGCTGTGGCTATTAACTGTGACATAGGATAATATTTCAAGATACTTGGAGGGATGATCTGTGTAAAATGGGCAACTTCCTATGAAGCAACACCGAAGGGATGCTCATAAAATAATTAATGAGAAAATCAGGTTAAATGCAAGAGAAGACAGATAATCATGCACATTTGTGCAGGTAATATGACCTAAAGATGTCATTAAATGGT